GGACTCGGTTAGAGATGGGAAGTTATCAATCAAGGAGGTTAATATTATACATACTGTAATGGAGGCTGATCTGTGGGCTTTGTTGTAAGGTCCTTGGGCGTTATACATTTTTGACAGGTAAAGGGGAGGGGCAACTGGATAAGCGTAGAACTTGAGACTCCCGGTAGGATAATATGTGTAAAAGGCATGCCTCATGCCACTGTGATTGGTCCATGCCTTTGTGATTGGTCCATGCCTTTGTGATTGGTCCATGCCCCTGTGATTGGTCCATGCCACTTTGACTGGTCCATGCCACTGTGATCGGTCTATGCTACTGTGATTGGTCCATGCCACTTTGATTGGTCCATGCCATTGTGATTGGTCCATGCCACTTTGACTGGTCCATGCCACTGCTGTGATTGGTCATCACGGCTGACCACTCTTTGCATAAACCCACCAAGGGGTAACGTCAGTTCATTATACATTAAAGACACACATACACGCATACTATACGAACATACGTACACACATATTATTTTACACACATACACACACACATACACGCACATACACCCATACTATACGTACACGCACAACAACAACAAAAACAACAACAACAACAACAACTACAACAACAACAACAAAACACTAAACTTAACCCAAACCCTCTATAGTTCGTGTTTTGATGACGTAATAGTTTTTCTTTTTTACCATTTTAGACCGGCGAGCACAAACATACTCTCAATCTCAACACCTACGCATCTTCTCCACTGTCTAGTGCTAGCTTCTCCTAGCAAACAGCTTATTACCTATAAATAAACGTCTTTGAGATTTAAACGGGCGGGTTTTCTGCACAAAAGATTTCTAAACCACTCGGCAGTTGCTCGTCTAATGGAAAAGCAGCAAAGCAGGTTTTGTTTTAGATTATCTAGAATGAAAACAGAACAATTATGGGGGAATACATATCTTAACGTAAACACACACACACACAAAGGGGACGGATATACAGATACACAAACACATGGGCACATACAAACATACATACAGACACACAAACACACACCAAGGAGGTTACTGTTTTAAGCTCCTTGACACACACACATACACACATATAAAGACAGCCAAATGCTTTCTCTCTCTCTCTCTCTCTCTCTCTCTCTCTCTCTCTCTCTCTCTCTCTCTCTCACACACACACACATACACAGACACACACAGACACAGAAATAGACAGACACACA